ATTACCAATGATTTACCAATATATATTAGAAATATAGGTAAATGATGGGTGGGCAAGATTTTCCTCATCTGTACGTCAAATTGCACCATCAATCATCTGTAAGGAAGCGACACAGCCAATAAAATAATAGGCATTAGTCTCATTGCTTACAATAATATAATCATATGGGCATCTTAGATGTTAACGGACATTTTGGATGTTCATGGGATATTAATTTTTTATTGGACATACATCGAACATGCCCTGGACCTACAAATATCACAAGTCCGGACAGTCCATGGATTATTTCGGTACCGCAATTTATGGCTAGAAAGGACATTCTTTTAATGACTATATTCAGTGGAAAAATGGCTTACCGAATCTTCTACATTTAAATTTTTAGAACTGGGTTAAAAAGTGCATACATTCAAGACTGTGGTTCACAAAAAATGGTTCCAACAAACTATCTTAATTCTCTCAGACAACCAAAGCCGTTCGTTCAACGAGAATCAATTGGAACTGCCATTAATGAACTGGAAACCCAGGCGGAATTGGTTGTAGCTTTGTAGTTTAGACTGATTGCTTGTTGCTTGTCTGTTTGTAGGTATCTTTCTGGAACAATATGGACCAAAATAATATAAACAAAACCACCAAGACAGAAAACTCCCACAAGTTCCAAAAACCCCTATGACGAAGCTAGCCTAAGAATAAGAAGACTTACCTCAAAACTCCACAGAACTCACCTGGGAGGAGCGGTTCTCAGGCACCCAAAAGCGTAAATTGGCAATTCAAACGGCTAAGGCTGATGGACGACCAATTAGACCTAGGGCTGACAGAAGGACGGAGAAGATCAAAGCTAAGCGAACTCCGAATTAAATTCCCCAACTCAAACTGGGCCGCCACCAAAGTGACAGTCCATGTCAAAGAAAACCACGGTAAGAAGTCAACCCAAGAAGTCTAAAACCGGATCGGATGGAGCAAGGGCAACTACATCTGCAGCGCCAAGCGGTACAAGATGGCTTGTCCTACAAAGAGGTACTAACGCACATGAAAATGGCGGTAGTACCTAAATAAACTGACTAGAGAGCAAGCGAGTCAGACTCAGGAAGAACTGATGGGAGAAATTTTAAAAAGCGGATCAGGGCCACAGTTCAAGAAGGGATATTTCTATTACACAGCTTTCTTCTTATGTGACAATAAGACCGCTAAAACCTGGCTCTCCGAAACAATTGCCCAGCTCCAACCTTTTCAGGGATCACAACTTATGGAGGAACTTTCTAGCGAGATCGCCTGAACCGACAAAATTGTAGCTTGGATACCCAAACCCATGCCGCTGCATGTCCTAGAACATGGAAACTAGAAAAATACTTACAATCCTAATAAACCCAAAACGAAGGACTTCAAACGGAACAGAGGGAAGTAATTCACAGGCATTGTACTGTTGATTGACGATGACTCTTTGAAGGCTTTAAAAAATTTGCAGTTAAAACCCTATATAGGCTTAAGGAGGTCCTTTCGCCACACCTCTCGCCTCAAATGTTAAAGAAAAAGTTATTAGATTATGACTAAAATTAATTTTTTTCTAATAGTTGAAGTCCTTATTTATCTAATACTGAACTTTTAACTATACCTTACCTTGCAAATTTTTGAGAATTTTTTTTTTAATGTGAATATTTGTACAGTGCCTCACGAGAAAGTAAGTCCTCAACAAAAATTCTCGAATTATACTATTATTTATTGATTAGATGGAGTAGAAAAAAACTAAAAATAAGATTTTGTTTTATACAATAAAATATATATAGTAAACCGTGGAACTTATTGAGAAATTAATATTAAAAAATCACAAAAAATTTTCAAGTAACCTAGTTGAAAATTTTTTGTGATTTTTTAATAATAATTTCTCAATAAATTCCACGGTAACCTATATATTTTATTGTAAAAAACAAAACCTAAATATTTCAAAAACCTTATTTTTAGTTTTTTTCTACTCCATCTAATCAATAAATAATAGTAAAATTAATTATAATTCGAAAATTGTTGTTGAAGTCTTACTTTCTCATAAGAAACTGTACAAACACACACATTTTTAAAAAAAAAATTCTCAAAAATTTACACGGTAAGGTATAGTTAAAAGTTCACTATTAGATAAATAAGGACATCTACTATTAGAAAAAAAATAATTTTAGTCATAATCTAATATTTTTTATTTAACATTGGTGGCGAAAGGACCTCCTTAACTCAGGCACTCTTCAAAGTGGAGAGGATGAACCTTCAGATGCTCAGAATAGTGCAAGCTAATCTGATACACTACAAAACGGCTTTCGCGAACCTTGCACGTACCAGCATCAGAGAGAAGACATACGAAACCCTAATACAAGAACTCCCCAAGTAGTGACAGAAACTTATATCGCAACTTCGATTAAGTGATTATTGCCTTATAATCACTAAATGCACCCTATATAGCAAGAATAACTTCATTTTATATTTTCCCAGTTGTAGCCACTTGCATTTCACCACTGTTAGTTGCCTCTGAAGGTGTTTGAAACGTTATAGCCACTAAGCGGGACCACTTTAAAGTTGCACAAACTTAAATGTGGAAAATAGTAGTTACGGCCACCAAATCATATCACTTAAATACCACCTAGAAGTGGCAGTAATCTTAAAGAGGGTTTGATAGTTTTAGTAACGTTTCGGGAACTATAAATACATCTTGATTGTATAACTTCAGTAGTTCTTGCCAAGCTCTTAAGTGATTTCCACATATTGTGTGGAACAAAAGCCACTTCAAAGTTACTATTACCTTCAAAATTCACAATGAAGTAACCGTTGCCTATTAGTGACCTGCTTTCTACATTGTCTGTGCGCAAATTACTTTGTTTTTAGACTTATCTAGAGTGCATTTGTGTGTAAAATGGGAAACAACAAGAAGCCTCGCAAAAAGATTACTTTTCGACATTCGACAACTTTTTATAGACAACTGTGAAAAATTGAAATGGCCTGGCCAAAATAAGGTTCTTTCGTTTTCCCACATGTCGGGAACAACGCAGAAACAAACACCCCTCTTTTCTTGAGTCGATACAATTTTAAAACCCATATCTAAATCTAAGGTGTGAATACAAACACAACATAAAACATTAAATACACAAATTTAAGTGATCTGTGACATAAACAAATTTAACCGGCGAAATCTACTGTAAATTTTAAGGTTATATGGAATAATACAACTAATACAGTGTTGCGATATCATTAGCATTTGAGTGTGTTTATATTACTTATGGTTATTGGTTTATTTTATTAATTTTTTTTGTTTAATCATTTTTATTATTTTTTTTTATTTTTTTTTAATGAACGTACAATGTTTGCTATAATCGCAATATTGCTTACAAAATGTCGTTAGTGATATTTACAATTTTATATTACATCTTTTGATGTGCAGGTAAGTTCAAAATAATACATTAATGTTGTTTATTACACTCTTCACTTCACACAATAGTCGGTGAAGAGTATTAAACGTTTAGTTCCGTCCGTCCGATGTCACGTTTTTATCCACACGATAAGTCAAAAACGAACAATATCAATTTGAAAATTTCAGGAAAAATCAAGCTCTGTAAGGGCACAAATATTAAAAAAAATCCTAACTCAAAAACGAAAAAAATATCAACTTGAAATTTTTAGAAAAAATCAAGCTCTATACGAGAATAAAACCTATTGATTCTGAAAAAACTGAATAAAAACTAGGGATAAGGTTGAAATATTGAAAAAAATCCTAAATCAAGCTTTATAAGGGGATGAAGCCTATTGATTCTGAAAAAAATCTGATTGAAAATGGGGCCCCTTAACTTCCATTTTCTGTTAAACTGTAAAGAGTATAATATAGAATGACAAGCCTTATTCACTCTAGTTTTGTATTTGTACTTACCTACACATTAATAGATGTAATTAATAGTTCTGGATCATATTTTATGTCCCTGTGACTTGAATCATTTTAAATCATATGACTTTCTATAAAGAATTGCATCTGTAATGGGGCTTTATCTATACTAATAAGTATTTCATCTACAACTGTCATTATATGGATGTATTATATGCATATCTAACGCAACATAAAGCAATCCATATTTCACTAGTGAGAATATATTCATATTACACGATTTTTGTCAATTATACCCCACTAGAATTAAAAATCATTAGATCTAGTATGCGTTTGACAAGTTAGTTGACAGCATGTTGACAGTTATTCGTTGTTACAGATTCTTTTTTGAAAATAAACTTTAAATATTAAGCCCGTTTTAAGTGTTTATCAATTAAAAAAATGGAAGAAGATGATTACATGGAACTAACACCTCCTGAAATCCGCGACGCTGCTAAAGTGACGTCGTTGGAATTATTACCTGAAATATCGAGGAAAAATTATGAGATTGCATACAATAACTTTAAACGAGTTCCTGTATAAATTGGCGTTTTATTTCACACGGTGGCTTAAATACTCCTCATTTGAAAGGTCTTTTAATTGTGAACAATCTTGTCAATTCTATTTATAACAACTTCAAAGAATTTTTTCTAAAAATCCCCTTTTCGTTTTTGGTGAGCCCCCGTATTCAGTTGTAGATAAAGTATAGTATTCAATTCGTGTATAATGGACCATACTACACTCGAATATTTACAACACTCGTGTAATATGGTCAACATTATACACTTATTGAATAATATACTATTTTCCACAGCCATAACTCAGAATAAATTAACAATACTTAAAGAAAGGAAACATAGGACTGCAGCCAAAACCCTAGTCTTCTAAACTGTCAAAGTGAACATAGCTTTCGTAGTGTAAGTTTCAATAAATTAGGCATTTCAAACAAAATGGTTGCCCGTGGGTAATTTATTAATGTAGTAATGTATTTTTGTTGTATTTTTACAGATTCGATTAAGCCATCCCCCTTATGATGGATGATGGAGAAAATTTCCAAGATGTGCGTAATTGGAAATGCATCGTAGCACCGGTTAAAAAAAAACATACAAAATGTATTTCAACAAATATAAATTATTAAACACTTTATACATAGGTGAATAATACACTTTTATATTTAATATCCTAAAATGTCGTCAGTTTTTTCACATTTCTTTAATTGGTTCAATGTTCAAAAAATTTAAAGAATTATGAAATACACACTGTAAGGCCTTTAATAGATATATTCTTGCATGGATAATGGAAAACATATGCTCCTTTGGATTCTGAAATTAAAAACGTTAAAAACATATAGATATCAATTAAATAGATGAGTCATGATTTATGATTGCAAATTAATGATGCTCTTATATACGTTTTTATAATAAAAATTATAATATAGCTTCTTATATCGTTTTTGAAAACCAAAAGCGACTGAACTTTTAAGCATGTGTGATAACTTGTTAGAATTGCTGCTACGACTGACGTCTATTTTTAAATAAATATTCCACTATTTAATACTAAAATATGTAATTATTTGATTAGGAATTTTTCAAAGACATGAAATTTTACCCAGCAGTAAAAAGAATAATAGAAATATACGAGGTGTGATGGAAAAGTAATTAGACTGGCTTCACTGAGAGCGATCTGACAAAATTGTGTTGTTCTTCTTCACTATGTATGTTAGTTAATTCCCACCCAAATTCTGTGTGAGTTTCAACTCCGTACTCTCACCACGTGGTTTTTGAGAACGCTATCAGTGAAGTTATGTTTTGTTATGTTACTCAAAAACGAACAGTGGAATTTGGAGCAACAGTGTGCCATTAGGTTTTCTGTTAAACTTGGGGATTCCGCAAGTGTGACCTTTGAAAAGTTGAAACAAGCTTATGAGGATCATTCCCTAACAAGATCCCAAGTTTTTCGCTGGCACAAATCATCAGTGATGATAGCCGTTGATATATTGATCCCATCTGATGTTCATCGTCCTCCTCTTGAAACTTCAATTCAATATAAGATGAACTCAAGTGATGCTCCTGGAGAAGAGTATTATTATGATTTTCGCCTCGTCAATTTTGAGGGTATACGCCAATGTTTGGAGGCAATGGATTGAGATGGTCTTCTTCAAGGAAAGGAACTTTCAGAAATTATTTTTGTTCTTTATGACGCTTTGTACTCGGTAATTGAGTTATTTGTTCCCTTAAAGAAATTTGTTATAAACAGATTCCCACATTGGTATTCTTTTCAACTCAGAAGCTTGGTCAACGATAAAAAGGTTGCACATGAGATTTACAAGCTTAACAGGACTCCCCAAAATTATGAATTATTCAGTCAGTTAAGATCACAATGCAGGATTATATCTAGAGAATGCTATTCAAATTACATTCATTCTGTTGAAACTTCTGTTAAAAGTAATGTTAAAGCCTTTTGGAATTTTGTAAGTACTAGAAGATCTAATAACACCATACCAGATAATATGAACCTTAAAGACTCTTTTGCTTCGTGTGGCAGTGAAATATCAAATATGTTTGCCAAGCATTTTTCATCAGTTTACACTAATCAAAATTTTAACGATATTGAATCAAAACTTAATGTTTCCTCTCACCACATTCCTATTTCGACCATTTACGAGAAATTATCTAATCTTGACATTATTCCTCCGATCCTACTCAGAAATTGCAGCTTCGTATTGTCTCGCCCTCTCTTCTATATTTTCAATAAATCTATCGCCCGTGTGAGTTTCCAGATTATTGGAAACTATCTTATGTCACCCCAATATACAAATCGGGTAGCAAGTCAGACGTCAAAAATTACCGACCTATATCTATTCTCAGTACTATACCTAAGGTTTTTGATAATATTATAACAGACTACCTTACCTATGACTGCTCTGGCATCATAACGGATCATCAATATGGTTTTTGTTCTGGGAAATCGACTGAATTAAATCTAGTTATCTACGTCGACTTCCTGTCGGATGCTTAGGAGAACGGTTGCCTGATAGATTCTGTGTACCCTGACTTTTCTAAGGCTTTTGACAGGGTCAATCATTCTCTCTTACTTCAAAAGCTCGATAAATATGGCATAAATTGGGTCGTACTGCAATGGATTAGTAGCCATCTTACGAACAGAACTCAAATAGTTAGAGTAAACCATCACTATTCTAACTCATTTCAAGTTACCTCAGGTGTTCCTCAAGGATCACACCTAGGTCCCTTATTATTCAACTTACTTATTTATAAATGACATCATTCATTGTTTTTCAGTATGGCAAAGCACTATTGTTTGCAGATGATTTAAAAGTTTTCCTAGTTATTAAAACCATTTATGATGCCCTCTGGCTTCAGTCTGACCTTGATAATCTATCAAACTGCTGTTCCTTAAATGACATGGACTTGAATGCCATAAAGTGCCATGTCATGCGCTTTTATCGATCCCATGTACCAACTACTACTTTTGATTATAACTTAAATGGTCATATCTTGGAGTGGAATCAAATTAAAGACCTTAGAGTTATTCTAGATCCCACTTCAAGCTTCAACCAACACATGATTTTACTGACACAACTGCAATTAAAATCCTTTATTGTTCACTAGTCCGACCTCACCTAGATTATTGTTCTTCTGTCTGGTCTCCACATTACATAACGCACAGCAGAAACATAGAAAATGTTCAACATAAATTTCTTAGATACATAGCCTATAATTCGGGTGTCCTTTGCGAGTATGGTTTGATAGAGAATTTTCTAAACATCCCCTCTTTGGAAACTAGGAGGAAACAGAGAGACCTGACATTATTTTTAAAAATTATCAATGACAGATGCAGCTGTACTGAACTTCTAACAAAAAAAAATAATTCCTTATGTTCCAACCCGCTCAACTCGACAGCAACAAACATTTTATGTACCTTTTTATCGTTTAAACCATACTTTTAGCAGCTGTATTCCAAGAATGTTAAGATTAGCCAACACTCATAACGATCTTGAGATATTTAACACCTCCTTTCATAAATTTATAAAGCAATTACTTAGTACTGAGCTTTAATCTTTGATCTTTAATTTTTAATGTAAATATTTTATTCAACCTTATTGTCTTTTGTCTTTTTAAATATTTTTAATTCTTTGCCTATTTTAGTCTATATGTAATGAATTATACCACGTTTGTATTTCAGCACCATACATATTTCACTACATTTCAATTATAATTTAAAATTTTAATTTATTTCTCAAATGGACTTACCCGTAAATAAATATAAACAGGTAGAAGATGAACCTCGCTCAGTTAGGCATTCAACTTCAAAAAACCAATGAAAATGTCGAACGTGTGAGATCAGACTGTCGATGTCCTTGAAAGACTCAGTAGAAGAGTGATTCGTGTAAGATCAGACATTGCAAACTCGTGTATGCTCATCATGACACCTCTCTATGTCACACAATCATCTCCATCACGAGTTTTTGATCTCAAAAGGCATCTCTGTGGTTCCGCAGCTGCCCTATTCGCCTAATCTCAGTCCTTGTGACATTTTTCATTTCCCCTAACTAAAAAATGTTTTAAATGGATGTCACTTTCGGACTGAGGTGAACATCCAAAAGAATGCGACTCGCATATTAAGGACTATACCAGTTCAAGCCTTCTAGCACTGCTCTCAAGACTGAGAACAACGACTCCGCCGATATATAGCTGCCCAAGAGAACTACTTTGAAGTTGAAGGAGATAATATTGTTGTTAAAAGAAAAAAATCTAAAGTTTCTTAAATAAAAAATCAGTTTAATTACTATTCTATCACACCTCGTATGGAAACATGTATGGTCACCAATTATTGTTCCTACCGTTAGTATTCGAACTCTTCTGTAATATACACTGAAAATTGATGATAAATTTGATAAAAACGATATCAAATATTGGGGATTGAAAATTCCTTTTTCGATATCTTTGATACAGCTTTTTACAACCATAGGAAACTGTAATATATAAACATAAAAAAGTTCCCATTCTTCCTGAAATTAAACAAAAAAATATATATAAAAATAATATTAAACTGTTTTTAAATGAATAAATTTTATACTATTTACAATTTCCTGGGTCCTTATAGTCCACAGGAGATAAAATTCTTCATGTCATTATACTTATGATCGAGTAATAAAATTTGTATTGAAATTCAGTAAAATAAATAAGTAATTTTAAATTTTATTTTAACAAATGTTTAAATGGTAATAATTTGTTTACAAATTATATGGGAGAGCTGGTTCTTTATAAAATTTTAGACGTTTCCGAAATTAGTATAAAAAAATTTCGTAAAATTTTGATATTTGATCAAATCTTCTTCGTTAGGAATGAACAAATTTCAAACATTCTGGAGGGAATTAAAAAACCTTTATGTGGCTCATTTAATTTAAAATTTCAAAGGATAGCTATCACTCCGAGGGAGTTAAAGAGGGATGGAAGTATATTATTGAAATAGTGTGAATTTATAATTTAAAATGTTCCTTAAAAATCATTAATTAGGCATTTATCCTTTATTGATGGACCTCACTGTATGTAATAATTCGTTCATGCTGATCATTTATAACTTGTGATATCATACTTAATGCGGAAAATTGCTCACCGACTGGCTCAATAAAGAAAAATCAATATTTTCAACATTAGGTAATTCTGGGTATTCTTTTGTTGAAATTCTTTTATCAAATTCCTTAAACAATGCTGCCAATCTTGCACAATTGTAAAATATAAATGAGGCACCTGTAACAAAATAAAATCTAAAATTAGTGTAGATATAGAAAACAATATAATTATGGAAAAATTAGGTACTTATTGTCATACAAACTAGTTTAACTTTTGTATTCAAATTATGTTTACTTTACTGATAATAGAATTATAAATATCAATTTTATATAATTGGTTTTTTAAATGAAACAGTCTAGGTTTTTATTATGTATTTAGTTTTAATTAGATATGAATTCTTTTAGTACCTGGTCGTAGTTTTATATAGACTTTTAACAGCATTACATTACACATAGATCTATGAATACATTTTATGTAAAGTAACATGATACTCATCAACTTATCAATAAATTACAGTGGCATTAAACAATATACAGATCTAAAAAAATACGTGTATTACCTACTTTTGAATATTTTTATTAAACTTAGTGTTTCTAGAATTAAATAGAATTTTTATATTTGTAATTGCATTTTTTGACGATAATAATATTATTATTAAAATAATAAGCGGTACACTTGAATTTAAACATGCAATGTTAAATAAAAACAATTATCAATTCATCTTTTATTATCAATCGAGGGGTAAACCATCACCTTTAATTATAGTGTACAAGTCCGAGGAATTTCAATGGACGTCCGTGGAATTTCTGTGAAAATCCGTGGAAATAATATACATAAAATTCCATCACATGGCGCATGCGTCTCGTCTTAGTGTTATGGCTCTCCTTCATAACGATTAAATTGGCGGTAGTGGAATTTGTGCTGGTTTATTTAATGATTGGTACTAATAGATAAGTTTAAATATTTTAACTGTTTTATTCTCTGAATATTGTTCTTAGATAAATGTTGTGAATCTAAAGGTAACCTTTATTAAATTTTTTCATGTAATCCTTTTAAAAATATACTTTTCGTTGCCATGTATAAATCAAGGAAAAACATGTCACTTACCTAACGATTTTTCTAATTTAAATTAAAATAGTAGTTAGTGCAACAAGTGTGTAAAGCGATATTTTTCCCACGAGCGCAGAAGTTTGTAGCACAAGCCGTCAGGCAAGTAAAGAAAATCAAGAATGTGGGAAAAAATGCTTTGCGCACATTTTGTACACTATACTTTTTCTACAACTACCTACACTTTTTAGAGCTTACAAATCATAGATCTGTAGATTTTATTACAGAGGTGTATCCAAGGGGTAGTTTTGGAAATAAAATCCCTCCCCCTCCTATGTTAAGTATTAAAGTGGGAAAGTGAAGATTGGTTGATAGCTGTAAAATGGACTGTATATATTCGATAACAAGGATGTCGAGTTAATATTTTTTTGTTGTATAGGAACAAAATGGACATATCAGAACAGAATGCTGAACTCTATAAGCTGAAAATGTTTTAAAAGTAGATATGAAAAGAATTACAAAATATAAAAATGTGGAAAAATGTTCAAGAAAAGTTTTACCGGACTTGATTAAAATGGATCAGTATAAAGAATATTTTAGGATTTTTCATAGATCTCATGAAAGAATTACTTTCCAAATTGATCATAAAAAATTGTTATACTGTTTACAAAAATACTATAAAGCTATCGAGTCGGCTGTTGAATATGTAGACCAAGAAGACACTAAAAAGCAAGCTCAAGCATCAACTTCTTCTCAAGAACGTTTCTTAAAATGAACTTGATGCATTAAAAGCAGTTTAAACCTTTTAAAACCATATAAAATCATAGATTAAATCGAAATGCCAACCCTTGCACTTAATTATATATATTTTTAGAAGGGTTCCGCACCCCTTTACCCCCTACTTTTTTTAGACAATCGAATTTTCTTAAAAACAGGATGCCACTGAAATGCTACAATAATTATTATTGTTGTGAATTTTTTTTACCTCTTAGTATTTGTTTGTAAAAGTTTTAATTACTGAGTTATAGGCCCCAGAAGGAAAGTCATAGTGAAAAATACAATGAAACTTTTTTGTTGATCTTAACATAAACCACTGAATATTTGTTCACGATTTTTTTTTTACTATTTTACAACTTTATTGAGATCGATAATATAAGGGAATACTTGTAAATGAAATTGTAAATTAGTAAAAAAAATTGTGATCAAATATTCAGTAGTTTAAGTTAAAATCTTTCCAAGGCTTATAACTCAGTAATTGAGGCTTCGTCCTGCATAGGCGTATCATGGAAAGGTTTCGAAGCGTGTCCTGATTGGTTGAAAACGACGCACACGACACTATAAAACAAACGTTATAAAATATTTAAATTATGAGAGTATATTATAAAAAGCCAAATATTTTTTTTAGATTTATGTTTATATATGTGCATTAATTTATCAAATACAGAGATAACAGGAGATATAGCTATATACCTGTGTCGATACGGTCCATTTGTAGATCAGGAGTGAAGACACGTGTGGTGTGAGTGAAGACACATGTGGTGTGAGGTAAGGGAAGGGAAGGATTTGACGGAGGAGCAAACAATTTTATCAATGAATATATGTGTAAACCACCGTTGTACGCCTATAATAACGTACAAAATGTCAAGCCATGTTGCCACATCTAGTACAAAATACTTGATATTCAATTTACTGAAAATTATTACATCTAATTTAGCGAAATTACATATAATTTAGTTAAGTTTGTTAATAAGTTTGTTAACTAATGATTCAAAATTTTTTTTGATTCAATTGCAATAAAATAGGTTGAATCATTTTAGCTTTTTTTAATATAAGTAAATAATTTTGTAAACAAAACGAGAATAATGATATAGGCATGACAACAGCTGATATTATACCCTTAAAATGTCTTATTCACGACAGCCAATATTTGATAGTAGTTACATATCCTGTTGTCTCTAGTCAAATATTATAGAAGCGAAATGTTAAAAACTAAAATTTATTATTTATTATGTTAAAAACTAAAATTTATTATTTATTAACTTCTACACGATTTTTCTCACTGTTAAGATCTAATCATTTTATTTCTCCTATTTTAGAAAAGGTTTAAAATAATCTTAATTGAGGGTAAAAATACTAATCATCTAATAATTGAAGGACTTGTAAAAACGTGATAAACCACACTTTTTAAAATAAAAGCATTTTTACTTACGACAATAAAAAATAAGGTTACAAATACCATAATTAGCCGAAAACTCGAGTTATTGCATTTTAACAAAGTTGTAGTAGTTATAGAAGTTTATTTTAACCTTTGAAGATGTCTTTCCTTAATAAATTAATGTTGTGACTTATCATGTTATTCCAATAAGCCCTTCAATTTAAGAATCTTATCGAAGACCTTATTCAGAACTCTGGGGAAACTTTTAGAATTTATTTGTTATTCTCTGGGTACTTCCAGTTATTCTCTGGGTATTCACAGCTATTCTTTAGATATTTCTGGGTATTCCCAGGTATTCTTGTGCACACAATTTTTTGGTTGTGTTTGCCACTCAGTATTTGATTAGTGAAAAACATGTAATTTTGTTGGCATTCAATATAATTTAACTTAAATAAATGATTAAAAATATTATGTAATACCTTTATTAGCAGATTGTAAATCATTTAGGCTAATTTTAATAGATTTTTGAGGTTTATTTGTCAACATTTCTATTGTCACTGAGCCTTTTCCTAATTTTTCAAAATAATCATCCCAAGCTGAATTAGGTTTGATCTGTACACCATATTTATGTTGTGCCATCATTCGCATATCAGATGACCTTTTTCTAAAAAAAAATATATATTATATATATTATGGAATAGACTAGAATGTATAAGAATAAGGTTATCCATATTGTTATGTGAGCCATTTCATTATTCAGTCATGCTCTAACCCTCCAAGTCCCTCTCTGTCTTATTTGGCCTTTGAGGCTCAACTTGTCCGATTATTATACATAATTAAACCCCTTAAGACCAAACCTATATGACGGCTATGGCGGAGGTACTTTTGCGAACATTCCAGAGTCAACGGGATACTATTTCTAGTCTATTTCAAATATAACGTGATAGTGTTTCTAATTTTTGGCGAGAACGTTCTGGAACCTTCACCATAATGTTAAATTGGTATATAAATATTGGTGGAAAATAACGCTGAATCAGTAATTATATGGACAGTGAAGATAAATAGCGAACAGTTTAAAGACATTCGAAATATATATAAATTAGAATAGTGTTATAAAATAAATAAGTGTTTAAATAAATTATTGATAAATAAACTGTTGTTTAAAATAAACAAACATCACAATATCTAAAACTCAAAGTTTTAACCACAAAAATTATTTATTTAAAACAGGGATAAAGCACGACTAGTTTCGGTCAGTGACTATCATCAGGCCTGTAAGAAAAAGTATGTTGATAAAGTTGTATAATGGAATTGAAGAATATTTTATAGAAATTATACATAGTTACACGGAAAACAAATTATAAAAATTAGTCAGAACAATAGTCTATGATCCGACTGTATAATTTCTGCTTTTTATAGATAATTATTGATAGAGAAATATGGTTTTTCTATGTTGCCTATCAACTTATGGCCACAAGTATTTTTGTTTCTACTAAGGTATATATATCTTCCAACAAGAGTCGTTTGTGATGTTATTCTCTATAATTTTGGTCAAATACATGATTTCTCCAAAATAGACCGTAATGGAGAAATTTGCGGAAAGTGTAAAATTTGATTTTTAGTATTTTCGTTGGCATTGAAGTTATGAAATGTTTTAAATAATTTTTATCTGTAATTCATGTTCTAAATACATTTTGATTAGATTGGCAATACTTAATATTTCGATAACTTTACAGGAATATTTGCACTTTTCTGCAAATTTCTCCATTATGGTCCTTTTTAGAGAAATCATGTATGACAAAAATTATACAGAATACTTAACATCACAAATAACTTTTATTAAAAGATTTTTTTTCTATAGTTATAAATAACAGAAATATACCTTAAAGTAGAAAATAAAGCATTATTAAAAGTAGTTGCGGTCATATTTATTTATTTATTTATTTATTTATAATACAATACTCTACAGGTCATAAACTCAATTACAGAGCAGGAATTGACAGAATATAATTATTAATAAATCACAATTTTTTATATGAATGTTAAGCACATAAAAAGAACTTGTATTTCGTAATAGGTAACAAATTAACTAAGATAAAAAGTGGGATTTTATATCTGACAAATTGCAACTAAATATATCAAGTTCATTGACAATAGAATTTGTTACTGTACACATGGTATGGAGCGGAGAATTTTCCAGAACATTTGTGCGAGATGTATTTATATAAAAAGTATTCGGGTGTCTGGAAGAAATTCTGGGAATGCAAATATTAAACTTTTCTAATAAGGTTGGGCAGTCAATAATACTTTTAATAATTTTATAAGTTACTACTACACATACTACTACATATTTTGATAAGCAACCTGACAGTCTTATTTCTCCACCAATAATTATCTATAAAACTCGTATTTTAATAAAAAAAAACTGATAAATGCAGAAATAATACAGTCAAATTTTAGACTACTGTATAATAAGAGTAAATAAGTACGTGAAATTTGACAATGATAAATAATCCAAATTTTTATTTTTTGACTAACAATTTATTTTATTAGTAAGTAAGAATAGAATGTATCCATCATTAAAGAATTTTAAAATAGTAAAGACCTATCCGAGGATCTATCAGACTAGTTAAGATATCTTTCACATAGTGCACATCCACATAAAAAACATTCTCATGTATTTTACAGCTTTAGAATTTTTGCTTAAATATAGAAGACATAGATTACAAAAAAGTAATTAAAGTTGATGGGTATATTTACATTTTAAATTCACATGTTAATGATAAATAATTCAAATTTTTATTTTTTGATTAACAAATTATTTTAATAGTAAGTAAGTAAGTAAGTAAGTAGGTAAGAATAGAATGTATCCATCATTAAAGCATTTTAAAATAATAAAGACCTATCCGAGGATCTATCAGACCAGTCAATATATCTTTCACACAGTGCACATCCACATAAACAACATTCTGATGTATTTTACAGCTCTAGAGTTTTTGCTTAAATATACAAGATATAGATTACAAAAAAGCTATTAAAATTGATATAATTACATTTTAAAATTCACCTTTAAAAATTCTTCAACAGAATACTTACCTCCCACAAAATTGAAACAACATGAATTCGATTTTTTTTAAGTTCTATATATTGCCCAAACTTTTCACAGTATGATCTTGATCATTAAGAAATTCAACTGTGAAATTCATTTGCAATAATATTTGACATGCTACATGCATAACAGTAAAACTTTCTAGAAGGTGCCCCTAAATTCATTCCGCTCACTGTACAAGCTCATTATTCTAAAGAACAGCTGTATGGGTGGGTTAGTTAGTTTCAATTTTTACTATACAACAGTAGAGTGACTAACTGTAGGACTAAATAATGTGAACTGATACTGTAGTTCATCTAAATAAACCATTATAATAAATTTTTAACTTACTGGTACAATTCTTGTGCAGTAAAAGAACTTTTTACTCCTTTCTCATTTATTATGGGTCCACACAATATATTCTTGCAGCCATCTTCTCTATGATTAGTAACAAATTGTATTGAATGTACATATTTTGCTGAATCAGATGTGGTAAAGTTTATTAAGTTTGTAGCTACATCTTTTAACAATATCAATCTGAAAGTACTTAAATCTATTTCGTTTAGGTTTATATTCTCAATATTTGGTTTAGTTTCCAAATGAACTTTATTATTTATAATACTACATGACCCATATTTATTATTTAGGTGTAATACGTTTGTAATAACATATTGGTATAATGTCGAAGATCGATTTAAATATAAATGAACATCAGAGTTTTTAAAAGTAATAGCTTTTATTCCAATTGTCCATTGTAAACTTTTCTCTATTAACTGGTTTACAACAGACTGGCTGTCCAATTGTGGATATTTATATTGAAATATTGATGTAATTACATCTTTTTTTAATTCAACACCAATATATTGATACCAATTACTGATATTTAAAGGAAAACTAACATCGCCAAGTTCGTTAATTCTTTTTGTATGTTTACGTATTACATTATGATCTTTTTGATTTACACTAATTAAAAATTCTTGTAGATTCAAAACGAATTCTTCTAATGCAGTCATCTCGCTTATTGTCTTTTAAGAACATGCTTTAATTCAATTTCTATCTTCAAATAATATGAGGGTCAAAACAATAACATAACCACAGAAAGACAGAAAACATAACCCTAAAACTTCTTCTTATATTATATATCCATAATCATATACTTTGCCAACTAACAACCCACGATTGCCAACAACGGTTTTTCTATTCGTTTTACTTTCTAAAATTATTTTAAATTCGAATAAACACATTAAAATAAATACTTTCAAATTTTTATTATTTCAGTGACTTTAGCAATAAGGATTGTGTAATTGTTAAAAGTAGATCAATGATTTTACCAATTTACCAAATCTTAAAAAGTTTTGGTTTCACCAGGACAGTTATTAGTCAGTCAGGCATAAAAACCAATTTTAGTGGAAACAATTGTATATGCTACAAAAAAGGTATAAATAAATAAATAATAAAATTTGTTAAAAAGTCTATTAGAACTAAATCAATGATTATGAATCATCAAAAGTCATTCTTCCTACACCATGATTCTTAATGTGTCTCCTATATTGCTTATATTTTGTATTTTCAGCTAATTGTTTCTTGGCCTTTTCTTTTTCCTGTTTATACCATTCATCAAAGTTTTCCCTTATCCACAATTCTGCATCCAAGAATTCCTGTATCTTATCATCTTCTTGGCTATTAAACTGGTGAACACTCATTTTCATGTTTTTTCTTATGACATATAATTTTTCTTCTTCATTATAGGGCTGCCTTAGTAAAGTATGCCTCAAGAACCAAGACAAATACCAGTAAATATACATCACCAAAGTATAAGGAAATATAACCAACTGTATCCATAAAATATCCATAATAGTAGGTTTTGCATAAGCACCTTTAATATCCATTTTATCTTCTATTACTTTCTTTATAATATTATCAACTTCTTCTTTGGTTTCTTTTTTTAGTCTTCTACCTCTCTTATCTTCTGGTGATAAAAGACCATCTACTTTTGCTATTTCTAGAGCTTTATTTCTATACTTTGGCACGGTCATAAAATACTTAATAGCAGTATCATATCTCTGCCATCCACTGAAGTATTGTATTGCTGATATGATAGATATTGTAACAATTAGAACTATTCTTACATCTACCTTGGGTGCTACTCTCCTCCTGTAATATCTATAGTAGTGAGCATAATATTCATCAGGGTTGTCCAACATATAATCATAGTCAGATCGAGCTTCTTCATCTTTTAATATTTCATAAGCATTTGCTATTTTCTTGAATTGCTCCTCAGCTATTTCTTTTGCCTCTGGAGTTCTGTGGAGATCTGGATGATATAGTTTTGCAAGTTTTCGATAGTTTTTCGATATTTCATGTTTTGTTGATTCTCTTGTAACTTCCAGTACATCGTAACAATTTGCTTTACCACAATACAATCCCTCCAGCAATTGGGAACTAGTTGACACCGTTATAATTAAAATAAACCATGTAATAGCTATTAAGTGAGTTAACATACTGAACTACTCTGCTACAGAATTTATTCTTAACTATTACATTTGAGAGCCACGTTTAAATTTATATATCAACAATCAGCCATTTGACAGATTTGACGCTGATTTAACCTCAATCTTTACTTTAATTTTATAGTGTCTCAGGTGTTATAGCACAAATAGTCAAATTTCTGCTTCCGTTTTTATTAGGCCTAGTATTTATAAATTGAATGGTGAGTCTAATTTTGATTTTCTTGCAAGGAAGGCAAGAGTTTACAAACAAACACGGGCCTATCCGAGGGCCAATCAAAAAAAATACGTACTACCTGGGTAAACAGTGCAAGCTATACCTTTAAAAATGTAAGAAGAAGAATCAGAATGTCAAGGAACTCAAAAACAAAAGAGTAAGTGTTCTGTCGTATCTGTGGAACTCAAGGAAGAAGAAAAGAAGAAGAATAAACTGAATAAAAATAAACAAAACATTTTATATTGGTTGACCTAGAGCTAATAGGTTTGTTCTGGTTCTCAAAATGAAAACTGTTTTGAAACTGCGCCGGACCGTATGCGTAAAGGCAAAAAATCCCCGACTGTTTGAAATTGTTGGAAAACCAGAACACGTCATAAATGTGTTTTGTTTGTTTATTATAATAATGAAGTTCCTTTTGAAAGCTCAGCTTCAAATAACATTTGCATGTATATGTTTACCATTATCATCACATTTCAATGGAATAAATAAAAACAATAATATTAAAAAATTAATAATTCTAAAATTGCTTTAATTTACAAATAAAACAAGAACAAGAGACATTCGTCCACATATAAATAAACAATTTGGGATTGTATACGTTTCGTATAGTCTAAAAAGCCAATACAATATTCATAACACTTCAAAAACGACCGCAACAGTCCGAGTCGATCCACACTCCCAAGCATGAACACTTTTTGACTGTTTACAACAATCACGGATTATTTCGGATACGAAACCAGAACACCGGACTGAGAGATCCGAAGTAGTCCCAGAAAAACCAGAACACTTTTTATCTACTGCGCATGAGCCCGACAGTTGTGGATCGTTATTTCTCAAAACCAGAACAGACCTAATAGATATTTTTAAAGTTAAAAGTGTACACTTGAAATTTTCTAGGAATTGATATGGAATCGATAGTCAATGATAAAGAAAATATCAATAGTAACATGAGGCGAAATCCCCAACAACGGAAAATAATTTACAGAAATCTTTTAAGTAAAATAGAGGGAATTGGTATGTTTAAAATGTTTATTTTATAACTATGTAATTCACTTAAACAATTATAAAAATAATTTTTAGAGGAAACTGAAGAAGTAGGTTTAAGAACAGTGAATGAAATAGGAGAAGTTCTGAGAGAAGCTAATTCACTAGACACTGAATGGCTTATTGATGAAAGAGTAGAACATGCTGATGAGACTTATTTAGATTGTTTAGTTTTGTCTTCTGCCAGTTCTGTTTTAAAAAAATGTATACAGGCAGTTGATGTCTTCACTTCTACATATGAACCTGAAGAATTTTCCCAACATATTGTAAGTACTTTTTAAAATAATAGCAGTATTAATTTTGAAATGATAGTTTTAATATAATAAAGTTATAAATGGGAAAACGATATTTATAATAAATTGACTTTTCAACTGCTTATTCTAAGTACAAAATAAGTTAACTGAGATGCATAACTCACTCCTTACATATAAACGAGTTTCTGAGAAAGTGTCTGACTAAAGAATCTTAAGTGAATTGAATTCTTTTATTTTTAAAATCTTATGGTATTCTTGAGAAAGAAACTAAGATTTGCCAAATTGGAACCATTATAATCTAGAAAAAGTATACATTAAAGGTTAGAATGTTAGAACAAACAAGTTTTTTAAAGGAATCTTTGAATTGAAAGAGAAAACTTAGAAAAGAGCAACTTTTGTCACATAATAGGAAATTGTATCCCAAATGTTAAAAGAAGCAACAGAAAATTTTACAGTATTTTTTTAAATATTTAATTTTTTGAAACATCAATAATTAAAAATTTTTAAAACAATATTTTTATTTAAAAAAACCTGTATTAAATCAATGTTTTTATTAAAAAAAAAACTAATGCTAATTAAGACATTTAACTTCATCTATAATTTCAAACTACTCTTCCTCGTTGTTTTCTTCTATGTCATCTCCAACATTATCATTATTATCCATAATGGGGACATAGAACTGCAAATTTTCGTAACTTCTCCAGTTCTCACCAAACTGGGTGTTTAGAAGTTTTTCTACATCCTTTATTTTTACACTTGCAACTGTGACAAAGAAGCATGGAATGCTAGATTAGGTTAGGTTTTTTAAAACAACGATTGAACTCATTTTGATACAAACTGTCATGTTGTATAGTTTAAATTAAACCAAGGGCAACGAGCACGTTTTGCTACAGTCGGGTATCAGATTCTTATACAGGGCAAAAATACCTGTCACAATCCACAACCATCTCAATTTTTTTTGTAGCTTACGAGTTTTGCATCTCTGATAAAGTACAATGCACAAATCTATGACCAAATGAAAAGACTACCGAGTCTCTATTAGAGGTGAATATGCTCTGTAATAATCTTAAAAAGTAATGATTAAAATCTTTCTGCATAAATTTTAATTTGTGAAGTAGGTAGATATATTTTATATGGCACATCAATTCTTTTATGGTTTAGAAATTGGAATTTTTTTATTTGTCTTACAGTAATTCCCAACTAGGAATTAGATAAAATACTTGGGTCTTAGTTTCCTCCTCATCTCGGAATTAACAGTTTCTTATATTTTGGTAAGCAAGACATAGACGTCCATAAAGTTTTCAAATGTAATTCTCTGACAGCAAAATTGAATTTTACTTCAACAAAAAAGGATTGAGTGTAATTTAGGAGACAATTGAATCAACAATCTGAAACAATATGTAGAGATCATGATGGAGAGAAACATTATTTTTACATAATATTTCACAAATTTATCATTAATTATTAACCAAACCATAATATGGATTTTTTTTTAGTGGTAAGACTCTTAGAAAATATTGTGATAAGGTATCTAACTTTAAGTTATTGCAGATTGTTTTACTATAATATTAGGCATTCCAAAAAAGGCTGCCAAAGGGAAGGGTTGGTAGATCTACTTGGATGCAGTAAATTGATGAATGAATTACTGAGACTAGATGGGAAATAGTAGTCAACTTAAATTTTTAACACTATGAAAATGCCATTTTAAAAACAGTTTTCTTAAATTGGCAGGCTTGCTGACTACTATTTCGAATAAAAATAGTGTCCAAGATGGAAGGCTATGTCGCAATCCCTTTAGATAGATATACCAGCCCTGCCCTCCAGCAGCTATTGTTTGACAGTTTGTTGGAATGCCTAATTCTTTGTATGATGATGACCTTATAAGGTTAAAAACGCTTGCAAACTTAAACATTTTTGAAAGAAATATTTAATTAAGGATCCAGTGGTTGATAGACTTTGGGTTTTGCTCATTTCTTCTTGATCTACTTCAGATCACTTTGAGATATGGTTAATATTGAAGCATTTTGAAGCAATTAAAAAATACAAAAAGCACAGGTGCAGACAATATATCAATAAAAATCATAAAATCAATCATAAATTTTATCTCAGAACCTTTAGCTCACCTAATAAATTTTTTCGATCACTACAGGTAAATTTCCCTGTATTTTAAAAATATCCACTGTTATCCTTCACAAAAAAGGCAATGCATACGAAATAACTAATTACCGGCCTATATCGCTGTTAAGCACCTTCTCAAATATTTTTGAAAAATTGGTATTCAGTAGGGTGTCTGCATTTTTAGCAAAATTCAATATTATATCTCAGTGTCAATATGGCTTTCTTAAGGAGAAATCCCAGAGTCGGCTACATGCAATCTACTAGGAATCATTTTTGATATTTTTTGATTTATCGAGGGCGTTTGACTCTCTAGATTTCAGATTCATTGAAAGCAAATTATATAATCTCGGTTTTAGGGGAATGTATATGAAATATATTCTTCATTCAGTTGAACGCAATAGCACTCTGTGCATAGTTAAGCTAATATCCATGTGGGTGTAGAACAAATATTTTACCTGTCCCAAAAAGTAGATATTTTGTACAAAAAATCACACAGGGCTATCCATTTCTTCATGTTTTTTTTTGTGTTCTTTTGACTCGAACATTAGTAAACCATCTGGCAAAAATCCATTGGTGCTTCAGATGTGGGTTATTATTAAATATTATTCTGTTCCTGTTGCATTTTGTAATGTGCAAGAGACCCTTTCCATAAAGGCTTGTTTTTGAGTTTTGATGGAGGTATCTTGTCCAATTTTTGTTACTTAAATCAGCATTAACTCATATTTCATCTAAATAAAATACCTGTTCATGCTGATCCCTTGCGTTCGCTATTTTCCTTAAATAATCATGTCTTTCTCTTTTAAAAAGCTGTTTCTGCCACGTTTTTTTGTAACGAAAACTTAATTCATGTAATATTTTTTGCAGATGAACATTTTATATATTTGGAAGAGTGGGACTATTTTCTATTTCTGAGTGTAATTTTTTTAAGTGTAGAAAGAATATACGTACCATTTGCATTTTTACCCAAATTTCAATAAAGGTATTGTTTTTTTCTGGGGGTTTTCCAAATGTGAGACTTTCCCAATAACTGTATCTTCTTTAATAATGTTATACACTGTCTGCTTAGACACTCCAGTATAGGTCTCAGATTTAGTGGCTATTTCATCCACAGAAAGTGAAACAAAGTCTTTTTGAATATTATTAAATACATTAAGTACAATATTTTCTTCTTCTAATGCTTTATGTCCACTAGGTCGTTTACAAGTACTTGTGCTTGCAATATTTTCTAATGCACTCGCCATTCTTATATAACTGTCAAATTATATATAATCAATTAAAATTAATAAATAAAGTCTGACTTATCTGTCAAAAGGAAAGGTTTATTACCATAAAAACCATTGAAACATGATTAAATTTAAAGGAAAACTTTTATTAGGCTGATAATATGTATTAAAATTTTAATTTTAACTACAAATATGCATCAAAGAATGAGATATAAATAAAATGTCTACCTCTTGAACCTGTAGTGCGTTCTGCAAATTAAATTACTCACTCCTTTCTTCTCTAGTCTATAATAGCAGCATTGTAGCCTTCTTCTTTGGTGATATATTTGTGCATTGTACTTTACTCAAATAAATTATGCAGTTTTATTACTTAGTGAATGATTGAAATATTATAATAATTTTTGAAGTTATTAAAATTTTTAGATAAATAGTATAAAAGATGAGGACAGTGATGAAATGAACCCTTTTGATTTACTAAAACTTCTTAAGGATGCTAGAGAAATCATTCCTAAAGTACCAGATTACACATACGTTTACGGCAGTTATGACTTGGAAAATCTGCCACAGCCAAAACCAAAAAGACAGATAACAAGAACTCAAAAAGAGAAACTAGAAAAGAAAGAACCAGAGCAAGTCACTAGCATGACTAAAGAGGAAGATACCATTGAAGAAATTCTCAAAGTTTTCTTGGAAGTCTTAAATAAAAAATATAAAGAAGCAAATGAACAACCTATAAAGTATTATGAATATATTATAGACACTGATGATTTTGCCAATACAGTAGAGAATATGTTTTACTTTTCTTTTTTAATAAGAAATGGTAAAGCTAGTGTAGATTTAAGTAAGTTCTGGTAATAACATTTTTGATATTAATAATAATATAGTAAATTTCAAAGTTTAAAAAATTCAATGTATTTTTCATTTAGATAGCAAAGGAGATCCCATAATAAAACCAGTCAAGAAAAATGTACACAAGGAATTCAGAGATAATGGTGGAATTAATGCCCAAATTATTACACAAATAAATGTAGAACGATGGAAGGTAAAACTTAAAAAATAATAAATAATAGTGACATAACACCTTGTTCTTTCTTTTTTTAGAAATTCAAAAAAGCTGGCTATTTGCAAGAATACAAAAGAAAACATTCCACACCCTAACATTTTTTATTTATAAAAATATAACTATTAATAATTTTTTATTCAATGCTGTTGTTTGATTTGATATCATTGTCACTACACTATACTGAGTTTTGGCATACAAAAATGATCTAAAAGCAAATTGATAGCCTGTGAACGCGGATATGAAATGCAAAGAGTTTTTAATGATTATTTTTTTGTCAAAATAGTCAAATTTTGTGATTTCTGCCAATAAGAGCCCGCTATCCTAATTAATCAGATTAAACAGTTCCTTCGTTTTTGTTTTTTGATAAACTTTTGAACTGACAACTATAAATACAATCTGGCAACTTTTTTGAAGTAAAATGTATTTCAAATCTATGTTAATACCCAAATTTCAAAATTATTGCTAATATTACTGCACAAAATTAAAATCAGTAATATATACTAAGCTCTTTAAACGTTCATGTTAAATCACTTCAATGCACAAAACTAACTCGCTTACACTCAACTTTTGTAAATTAAACAGATCATTTCATTTTATAGTTTAAAACACTAAAATCACAATAACAATCTAAAAATTTAGCAAATAATGTCAACTCGTGAAAGACAAGTAACTTACACATGCGTGTCGTCTATTACAGAAAACGTTGTTGCTGTATTTAGTATTTTTTTAGGGTATAATGGATATTATATTACAAAAAAAAATATTTATATATTTAAAAAACACTTCCAAATATGTTTGTGTCTTTTTCATACAGAATGATTCAAAAAATAATCTTTTCCAATACCGCTCATCCTTTCTAATTTTATCTATTAAATGAGTTTCAATACTCAACCACCTTTATTTTAGGCAAAACCACTGGAACTGATTTTATCAATTGGTTTGTTTTAGTGAATTTTCTAAATAAAGACGTTTTCGTGGAAACTAATAATTTAATCGATAAAATTTGGAGGACTCGTGGTATTACCTTTGATTAATCACAGTTCTTTAATTATGTTTGTCACTATCGATGTTGTCAGTCCACTAGAAGGGCATAGGTCCAAAAAGCATTTGATTGGCTACCTTCTTGGCAAGTGAATCAGAAAGATGGTTACTTTTTTATGTGGCGTGACTTTTGGTCCATCTTAAGTTGACCACAGCCAAAGCTTTGTGACATTCTACTTGTCGTGTTGTTTACTTGTCTATATATATTCTAAGAATGTTTTGTCCTCTGCTGATTTTTGAAAATCCGTTTTGTTAAGTGGAAAAAATAGCCGTTTTTAGTAATTGGAATATTGTTAAAAAATAATAAAAATAACAAATTTTTAAAAAATGTTGTATGTTCTTGGTTAACACAGTGTAGTATCTATTTTTATTTAGACTATTAATAATTTTAAAAATAATAAAAATAGTTTTCTCGAAACGGAATTTTAAAAATCATCAAGAACTAAATATTCTTAGAATAGTCCAAGGAACAACCCCTTGAATTTTTGCCGCATGTTTAAAAAACACCCTGTATATTTGACAAGTTAAATGTAATTCCTTCTTCCCTTTTTTCACTTCAGCTTTTACAACTGTAAACTAAACACACTACCTATCTGATTAATGATTCGTAAAAAAATCTTCTCTGGCACCAAAAAAATTGGCGGCCGATCGATATTATCTTCTGCGTCGGTCTGAAATACGAGTTTTGCGTCCCCTCTTTCTTAAGTCTAAGCACAGGATAAAGAACAATACAGAAAAGAAACATAGGACTAAAACAGGAACCTATATAGCAACCTTACTTACTCTGAGATAGCAACCGAAGCCACACCTTCTTCATGGTGGAGCATTGTCAAAATTGAACCGTAGATTTGTTACTTGTTCGAAGTGCAACAGTGCACACTTTTATAGCAGATGAACGAAGCTGTCGCTGTTAGAAAATCGAATTTTTTTTCCTGTCGTGTCTTTATTTGTCGTTTTGGTTGTTTTTAGCGAATATTCTGATAACTTTTACGTTTTTTTAGTGGTTTATTTTTAGTTTTTGTTGATGTTTTTAATTGTAGAGTTGTTAATTTAAGACTTTATTGTACGTATTAAGATTAGGTTTATAAACAATGCCGCGTCAAAGAGGAGGAGGATATACTTGTATTTATCGTGGATGTACCTCAAGAACAGGTGGCAAAGAAGAATTGATCACTCTTGTGAACGACCCAGTGAGGTATGTATGAAACATTGTGGGTGAAATAGGAATTGACCTTGCCATAACATGGTCGTACAATGATTGTATGTATTTTTCAGACTTGAATTGTGGCTTAAGGCAGCAAATAGAGAGAACTTATTGGGAAAGAGTGTTTCTTAAGTAAAAATTACAAAATTTGTGAACTGCACTTCCAGGATAAATTCGTTTAACAGTCAGGAACAAGAAAAGGATTATTTGCAAATGCATTCCCAACAGTATTTCCCCATTCAGAACCTATAAAAAGAGTCACAGTTTTGCAAGGTAAATAAATACAATTTATAGTTAAATGTTACAAAAAGTTTGCCACTCGTCTTCCTTGTCATTTTTTTACATTACATTTAGTAGTTTAAAACATAAAATGATAAGTACTAATAATCTTAGAATATCAACACATACATTTCATTTTGTAGAACTACCTCGGAGGTAAACTGCACTATGTCGACACAACAACTTGTGCAAATTAAAATAAAGTAGTTTTATTACTTAAGTTAGTAAAAAATACAAATATTGTGACAATAAATGGGTGTCTAAATGCATATCTAGTTGACATTTAATAATTTAACAACATTCAATCTGCTGTACTAAAAAGTTTACTAGAATGACAGTGCAGTTTACCTCCTAGGCACAGAAATATATTCACATTTTATAAAATTATTTTAAATTTCATCTGGCTAAAAAGTGTGATTCGAACATTTAATTCTGACAAATGATGCACCTTCTTGACACTAGTTGATCTGGTATAAATTTGTTTTCTCTTTCTTTTTTAGAGGAATTTGTTGTTCATGGCGAAGAAGGCAAAGACAACTTGTGTCTACCCTCAACTTCAGCAGAAGTAGAATTTATTGAACAAGTGCATAGTCAACCATCTATTCCTCTACCTTGTGTAACAGCACAAATTCAAACGAGTAGTGTGTTACCATCAAACACTCCAAGAAAACAGAGACTGCGACTGAAGATAGCAACGTTAAGGAAACGTTTGTTTGGTGCAAAAAGAAGAAAAATAATTACTCATTATTTAATATTTTTTATAAGTACCGTTTATATAATTATTCTATATTTTTGTTGTATATTAGTATATAGCTATTTTAATAAAGCTACTTATCGATGTATTATAAATTAGGCTTGCTCTATAAATCTGGTGTAAACAATTTTAATTTTGAAACAATTCTATTTTAATAAAATACATGCACTAGATTGTAAACTTATCAGTTGCATAAATACACGTTTTTTAATTTATTTTTCTTTTTTTTTTTATTCATAAAATCCCTAAAATACGCTTTTAGCTAATGATTTTTTAACAATTATCCCAATTGATTTATACTTATGGATAACTAGTGAGATTTGTGGCACAATATTAATAGTTCATTATGACAGGGTAAAATAAACTATTGTTTAAAACTTTATAATTTTCATTTTTAAAACCTCTGTTGGAAGTGCTACAAATCAAAAAATAATTTACTTAAATCGAGAATAGTTTCAAATGCGTTCATGCAAATTTTCATAAAATGTAGTTTTCGCAGTGTAGGTTCAGTGAATAGCTACGTTCGCGTGTACTGTGAATAATTGCGTTTTCTCAGAGTATCTCTGTGGTGGAAGTGAAGGTCAAATATTTCTATCCCTTCAACTTCAAAGTTCCAAACATTACTTTCTGTTCTGTATTGTTTTTCTTCTGTGGTAAGTAATTATTACTGTGGTTAAGCGGGCACCACATTTTGGTAGTGAATATATTAAACATTCGTCAATTCACAATATTATGTCCACACATTGAACGAATGACTGTGGCAGATAATGATGTGTGAAAGTGGTATTAGACATTACTTGAACTACATTTTATGACTGGTTAATCAAAGACAGTTTTGTCATCGTCATTTTTTTGTCATCTGCTGGACGATCTTAACTAGTTTAAACATTTCACCAAATCTTTGTAAAAGTTGTAATGATAATTAGAACATGTGTTGTTTTCATTAAAAAGTTGTGCCTTTCTTCAAAATGAGTGGAATTACATTGACGAATCAGTTTTCCGGTTGTTTTGAAATATTTGCCAAATTTAACACCATAAATGCAGACAATTTCAAATACGTTAAGACACAATTTTATAGAAAAGTTATAAAAAACCAGACTTTTGAGACTACTTCTCAAATATCCATTCAGAATCATAAATATCAAAGGGTGTCTATTCCAAGGTTGTATTATAGAACACCAAAATATCAGCAGAAGGGAATCATTTTCATTTGGCCTCAGAAAAGGAAATTTTTTAGGTAAGTACCGTAACCTTCCATCCCTATGGCCCCTCACGTTTTGCATAAAAGCTTACATAAATTACCTCACTACTTTTTTGTGATATTCAAAGAATTCTATGTGTATAGGCCATTCTTTTCTAGTAGTGATCGATTAGATATGAAAGGAGTTGAACATTATTTGTCCTTGTTATTTAAGTAGTCTAGTTGCAAAACCGACTACATCCAAAATTGTATAGAAACTTTAACTGGTCTCCTTTTGCATTATTTTGTAGGTATAAAGAACTCATTTATGTAGCGTGGTTAGCATCACATTTACTGTTTTGGTTATACACCATAAATATTTTGCCTAGTGGTGGCGTACTTCCCATAGAGCAACCCCCGTGGAATTTCGAACTTCCAATAAGAAAACCCGACACCCGCGATTACATTATCGAACCAGATTGGAATGTAAATTAAGTTATTTTTTTTTTAATAAATCTAATGATTTATATCTTTGCGTTTTGTTTAGTTTTGGCCGATTCAACGGATTTGTTATACATATAGGTGTGATGTTATAGGGCGCTCATCCATTGCCGCCAGGGCTACCTGAAGGGTACCTTCTTATAACCCTAGGGGCGATTCCACCATTATGTTAAGCGAAGTTTAAATTACTAAAAGAATGTTAAAATTACATTTTAATCTTCGTTTAGTAATTTAAACTTCGTTTAACACAAAGGTGCAATCGACCCTTACCTCCATCAGTGGCGCATCCATACTTTGAGCAAATGGGTTGCCTAAGAAGATAGTGTCAAGACTATTTATTTTCTTAATGTAAACAAACGAATATATCTGGCAGATGAACAACTGAAAAATTTTCATCAAAAAAATGTTTTCATTTTCGCAGTTATGAAAATTTATCGATTGCCTATAATAAGAGCTTAAAATAAAATCTAGCTAATGCGGAACACCCCGAAAGCCTTGCAAGACTCTAATGATTGTCAGGCGCGTTAAATTTGGTAGAGCTGGGTAATTCCTACTTAAAAAGTAATTAATAATTACAATTACTATTTTTTCATGTAATTTGTAACTTTTTTTCCTTAAATTTGGACTTGTAATTGCAGCAAAATTTGTTGAGGAATTTTACTTTGTAATTATATTATTTATTAAATTTTCTAATTAGAATTACTTTTAAATACGTGTTTACGATATGCACGTAGTATAAAAACATTTGACGAAAGCGCTGTGCCGTGGAAAGAGCCTCGGTGAAGTAGTGAAATTATTAAACCCAAAATAATAACAGTAAGTAGATGTAAATACCTTTATTTTTAAGACGTAGTTTATATTATTATAAACATAATTTATGTTACATAAACATTATAAACTAAGGAAATATCGTATGAATAAGTGATGCATACACAGCAGTTTTTATGGGCTTGATTTAACGGCCCCAGACTAATGATGCCCGATTTGTATGGTATGATTATAATATAAAAGTACCTAGTCCTAGGTACACGAACTTTGTATTTTTGTTCCGAATCAATAAACTTTTAAAGCTCATATTTTATTATTAACTTCTTTTTCATTTTTTATACTACTTGTTATGAATTTTGTCTTTTCCCTTAAGTTAAGGAGACCTTAAATGGTATAAGAAAACAATACGCTTAGGGCTGGTTGCATAAAGCCTACTTAAAGTTAAGCTCAGTTTTAAGTATAGGCCGATGCTTTAGGAGCAGTCTAATGTTTGGGGAAACAAGCTCTAAGTGCTAAATATTGTTTAGACTGTACCTATGCCCTATGCCATACAAAATTTGTCATGTATCTCCTTAAACCGAGTTTAACTTTAAGTAAGCTTTATACAAACCGCCTTTAACCTTCCGGGACTGGCGCGCGGATTCTCAGTCTTTAAGCATCAAATTAGTAGTATATCAATGTTTGAAGCGTGAGTGTATTTTTATTATGTTATAAAATATTGCGGAGTGAGACTCCGCCGCCAGTTGCCAATCCCATTTTTGACCACACTATTAATATACAGGGTGTTCCATCTCAGACGAGCCACCCCGTATATTTCTTATCCACCTCAAAGTTTTAAGCATTAGATTAATGGAAGTATATTTTGAACAGGATAATATTATTCGCATAGCTCTATTCTGCAGCTTCTGTAGTCGGTTCAACTCATTTTGATTTAGTAAAAAGAGTATTGTAGAGCAATAATTAAAGTGAGGTAGAATTATAGTATTATATATAATACATTTAGTCCACTGTGATAAGCCAAATGAACTTCTAAATAGAAAATTTAACTTAAATGCAATAGTTTTGATAACAGTGTTGGCATGATCTATGAATCTCATCTGCTTGTCAATCATTACCCTAAGTATTTGAATTTTTCTACTGTATAGAATTTCCTCCAATTGTTATGTTATATTGTTTATCAACAAACTGTGTATAGTTATAGTTGCTACTTATCAGCATACATTTTGTTTTATTTGTGTTAATTTTCAACAAATTATTGCAACACCATTTACCCAGACAACACACCAAATCCCAGAGATATCCACAGAATATCTTTTGTGGATATCCAATATATCCACAGGATATCAGAAATATTCCGTGGATCTAATATGGATATCCAAATGTCCGTCTATATCCAGAATATAGAAGATATCCTAATGGATATTCAGCAAAATATCTAATATGGGTATCTTCCAGAAAATACAAGAAATCCCAGAGATATCCACAGAATATATTTTATTCTTACCGGTTCGGTTAGTTCATGGTTCCTCAATTCTATCATAGTTTTATTCGCAGAGTAATTAGCAAAGTCACTATAAAAGTAATTGATAATTCCTTTTTTCATGTCATTGTAATTAAATCAATATAATTCTTATTTTTTACAACATGTACTTAGTACTTGTAATTAATTCCTCTTTTGAAAAAGTACTTTGTAATTGTAATTATTTTTAAAGTACATGTAATTACCCAGCTCTGAAATTTGGCAACTTTAACTACTTGGCTTGTGAGTCTGACAAGGCTTTCACGATTGTAAATGTCAGCCAGACGTGTATTCTATAAAATTATAGTATAAATCTATCATGTGACAAATTTTCAAACCCAGGAAAATAAAGAGCGAACATTTTCTATTTATCCGTTTTGGCAGCCAGACTTATTTTTAATTACAGTTTATGATTATATCAATTTATATGCTAAATGTCAAGCCTGGAAAAATAAGGATTACGGTTCTGCAAAATCAAATTTTTTAATCTGTAAGTTTTCAGTCAGGCTCACTTTCCGCTTCTGAGATAAGCCAGACTGCTATTTTTATAAACTTTATGTTCTACTTTAGTAAATGTATAAATATTTATGACTGGGAAAATAAGTGGATTGTTTCTTTTTAATTTTTTTGAATCTATTCAAAAATTTTAGCCAAACTCAAAAATTTTGTTTTTTGTCATAAAGAGAACAAATTATTTCATATCCACCGACTGGAAAAACAAGTACGAAATAAATGCACTGCCTCCTGGGCTATCTTAAAATTTTCACTTTTGTTCTTTCCTATTTGACAATGTAGGTGATGTGACGTTTTTGTACTAGTTTACTGCGATTATTAATTTTATTATAGTGACATGATATATGACAGCCAATTTTAAATATTTTTAACATTTTTAGTTTCTTCTGATAATATATTTTATACATTTATACATAAGTTAAAATAATTAAATTAAATCGCACGTGCAGCGTTTGGATGTAATACCCGAAAATAATAAAATAAAACAATCTTTATAGTATGAGAGCCCACTGCAAATTTCGACCGTCATCCGATAACGAAATGAAATATGCTCCAAAGGCATATTGTAACAACATTGTACTTTACCAAATTGCACCTGTGCTAATCCCTATCCTGAGCAAAGTGGTTAAAAAAATAATTTTTTATATTTAAAAAATCACATAAGACATGACAGCGACAATTGTGTTTTCCCTGAAAATTACAATCCTAATTCATTGTGAACCTAGCTTTTAAACCTGAATTATTAATATGTTTACCTATCTACCTACTTTTTAAACCATGTTTATGTATGAAAGGAAGAAGGATGGCATTGTATAAACCATTTGCAGTGATAGTCAATAATAATTATAAACTCTTGTTAAACCATAATCATAGTAGTTTTTTTGTCGTTTATGGCAATCTGTAAAAATGAATCACAACAATAGGCATACAAATAAATTTTTAAATCAGCAAACATTGACTCATATTTTTAATGATTTTTACCTACTAATGTTTCTCTTTAACGATATATATCAAGATATATTTGAATGTTATTTTCTGGAAAACTTTAAGGGCAAACAAAATTAGCGGGTATATTTCATTTTGTTATCAGATGACGGTAAAAATTTGCAGCGGGCTCTTGGGCTATTACAGGATAAATGTGGTTAGTTTTTTGATTCTGGCTCTGGATTTATACGATCCTGTACCATTGGAGCAGTCTAATGATATTGAAGAAAACGATGATGGTAAAGGTGGTAGTGATTAATCACCCGCTGTTATGAATTTTCTATGTGGGTTAGGTTAGGTAATTTTTTTTGTTATTATTTTAATTAGGTTTCAGGCTGTATATATATGTTTGGTAAATTATATATTTTTTTAATTTTTATCATTTTATGTACACTGTTTTTTCAAAGCACCCGCGATGGCTCCATGCCGCACAGGTTAGGTAAATTAGTAGTTTTTATTTTTTTTTATTTCAAGTAAATTTTTCTGCGAAGCAACCCGTGATTGTTTCAGTCCACAGAGGTTATATAAATTGGTGAAGTTTTTTTTAATTTTTCTTATTTTATGTATAACTTTTTTGCGAGGCAACCCGCCTTGCGTCAGGCCGCACAGGTTAGGTAAATTATTAAAGTTTTTTTACTTACAAAAAAACATTTTTTTTTGTTAAAATGTGAATTCGCTATAACCTGCATTTTTCCCAAGGTAAGTCTACAAAATCTTTAGTTCTTCCAATTCCATTTATTCCTGAGATTGGCGATTTTTTAAATTATTCATTAAATTTTTCTATTATTGAATTTTAAGACAAAAAATTCATATAAATATAAGTCCTAAACCGTTTTATTGATAATTACAATTACAACAAAAAATGTTTTTTTCTCCAGACACCACAAATAGGTCCATATTGGACGTCCATTCGATATACAATTTTGGATGTCTGGACGTCCAAAGATGAGTTTTTTCTGGACTTCCAACGTCCAGTGAAGTATACAAATGTCACACTTTTGACCGTTCATAGGACGTCCAATTCAGGATTATATTTGGACGTTCAATACTGGACATTCAAAAACGTCCATTTCTGGATTATATTCCATTGAGACTACATCCCTACTTTTATTACGCAACCGCAACTCACCACACACTATTTTATATTATTAATAATTTATTTATTATTTTCGCAACCCGCTATACACCATTTATTAATTTGTTTTTATTAAAAATCACTTGACAAGAGCAGGTATCGAACTCAC